ACTGATTTTTTGGAGTTGATCTTGTATCCTGCCACATTACTAAAGGTGTTTATCAGCTGTAGGAGTTCTTTGGTAGAGTTTTTGGGGTCGCTTATGTATACTATCATATCATCTGCAAATAGCGAAAGCTTAACTTCTTCCTTTCCAATTCGAATCCCTTTGATCCCCTTATGTTGTCTTATTGCTATTGCTAGAACTTCAAGCACTATATTGAAGAGGTATGGAGAGAGTGGACATCCTTGTCATGTTCCTGAATTTAGTGGGATGGCTTTGAGTTTTTCTCCGTTTAATTTAATGTTAGCTGTCGGCTTGCTGTAAATAGCTTTTATTATATTTAGGTATGACCCTTGTATCCCTAATCTCTCCAAGACCTTTATCATAAAGAGGTGTTGAATTTTGTCGAATGCTTTTTCAGCATCTAATGAAATGATCATATGGTTTTTTTCTTTCAGTTTATGCCTGTAATCCTAGCACTTGGGAGGTGGAGGCAGGAGGCCTACTGCAAATTTGAGGCTAAGCTAAGCTATATAGTCAGGTCCTGGTTAGCTTAGGGAAAAGGAAAATATTATAGAAATAATAGATATAAATGGATCAATGGATCTTCCAAGCAAAAGTGATAAAACACTTAAAAAAATACAGATGAAAACCTTCCAGACCTCGGATTAGGCAGAGGTTTCTTCTTCTTTCTTCTTCTTCTTCTCCTTCCTTCCTTCTTCTTCTTCCTCCTCCTCCCTCCTCCCTCCCTCTCTTCTTCCCTCCCTCTTTCTCTTCCTTTCCCTTTCTTTTGAGACAGAGTTTCTCTGTGTAACAGCTCTGGCTGTCCTGGAACTTGCTTTGTAAACCAGGCTGGCTTCAAATTCACAGAGATCTGCCTACCTCTGCCTCTCTAGTGCTGGGCTTAAAAGTGTGTGCTACCACTGCCCAGCAGGCAGAGGTTTCTTAATTATGACAGCAAAAGCACTGGCAACAAAAAATAAATTGGACTACATCAACATTTGAAGATGTTGAGCTGGGCATGCATGATGGCTCATACCTCTAAATCAGTATTTAGGAAGCAGAGACAAGATTATGAATTCCAGGCCAGCCTGGGATACATATAGCAAGACCCTATCTCAAAACAGCAAAACAAAGTTGTTTGTTTTTTTTAAGATTTTAAAATCCTTTTAAAGGTGTGGTGGCACATTCCTGTAATATCACCATTCTGGAGGCTGAAGTAGGAGAACTGAAAGTTTGAAGCAAGCCCTGGTCTATACGATGATGCCCTGTCTCAATCAATCAATCAATCAATCAATCAATAGCTTTTAAAAGTACATTAAATGGCATTCTCTCGAGCAGCATTTCTCAATCTGTCTGTTCTGACCCCTTTGAAAGTCTCATGTCAGATAGCCTGCATATCAGATATTTACACTATGATTTATAACAGTAACAAAATTACAATTATGAGGTAGCAACAAAATAATTTTATGGTTGGGAGTCATAACACCATGAACTGTATTAAAGGGTCACAGCATTGTGAAGGTTAAGGACCACTGAGCTAGAGAGTGAAAAGACAACTGGCAGATGAGTGAGGATACCTGAAGATCATGCATCTAATAAAGAATATTAATACATAGAAGTACAGTTCAGCAACAAACCATTAAAAATGGGTAAATTTAGTTAAATAGACATTTCTCCTAAGGAGAGAGTTACAAACTCCAGAAGATGGCCAGCATTTTGTGCTGGAGAGATGGCTCAGTGATTAAGAGCACTGGCTACTCTTGCAGAGAACTGGGTTCAGTTTCCAGTGCTCACATGGGAGCTCACAACCATTTTTAATTCCAGTCTCAGGAGAGCCAATGTTCTCTTCTGGCCCCCATGGGGACCAAGCACCACAGGTAGTACGCAGACTTAGATGTAGGCAAAATACTCATAGACATAAACATAATTTTTAAAAGACAATTTTTTAAAATGATGACTAGGGAAACGCATATGAAACTTACAGTGAGATTCCAGCTCACACTTAAATCCACTATTGCTAACATGTACACAAACAGAAAGTCACAGGCATTGGTGAGGATGTGGGGTGTGAATGAAAAGTGATTAAACCTTGGAAATCTTTAGCAAGTCTCAAGAAGCTGAACCGAGACTTCTCATCCAACCCAGAAGTCTCACTCCTAGCACTGAAAAGGGCCTGATGACATTGCGCACGATGTTCAAAGCAGCAGCAGCATTCACAGTTTCTAAAGGAAGGAAACATCCTGTGTCCACTGCCATAGGAATGGATAAACAAATGTGCTATATACATACCATGGAATATTATTCAATTATAAAAGATGTTGTAGCATTGAATGTGTCCAAAAGAAAAAAAAAAGATGTTGATACATTGCACATGGATGGAACTTTACATCAAGTGAAATAAGCCATTCACAAAAGACAAATATTGTATAATTATATTATATGCAGTCTTTATAATAGCCAAATTTATGAAAATTGAAGATAGAATGCAGGTTACTTCTCAGAAGAATTGGTAGTTATTATATAGTGGATACATAACTTCTATTTATGGTGCTGAAAACTTTCTGAAAATGGTGAGGGTTCATAACTGAAATGTACATAATACTACTGAGCCATATGGCTGTAATGAGAAATTTAGTGTTAGGTATATTGTACCAAGATTTTTTTTTTTAAAGCTGGAGATGGGGTGAGAGGGTGGAAATAACAGGCATGGCAGAACAGAGCAGACATGATAAGGGCAGCCATACTCTTGTAGCAGCACTGCCTCCAAGGCTTCTGTTATCTTACCCGGCTTCTTATGCTTCCCCCACCAGCCTCAGTGGAAAGGCCCGAACTGTACATAAGGGATAAGATTCTTGTGATCAGCTGCCCTTACCTTTATAAATGAAGATATGAGCTACCAAGATGCCAGAGCTTAGGGCTCCTAGGGGCCAGGATGCAGGATTAACAGAACACAGGGGTAGCAGGCATCAGGGGTCTGTGGTTGTGGTGATGGGATGGGATGGGAGGCCAGGAAGTTGAAAGGCCTTGTCAGATTCAGCCAGCACCCTGTCCTCTGACTGGTGAAAGAGAGGACATGACATTACTTATGGAACTAAGCAATCCCTAAGACCAGTGATACCATCCAGGACAGTGAGGACAGACTGGGCATCCCTGGAAACTGTACAAGTTGTAGCTGCCATAGAGTGACAGGTATATGTTTTCTCCTCAGAAACAGACTGAATTTGATCTGATTACTGTGAAGGACCGACCAGTCTGGGATGCTGTCTACCATGTGGAAGGGCCAAACCTGCCATGCATCATTTTGATGGACAGCTGCCAGGCACCCAAGAGAGACTCTGGAGGCCTCACTGAGCCTGGAACCTGCCACTGCCCTAACCACCCTCTGCCTGATATTTCTAAGCAAGTAGCAAGGGGTTCTCATGAGCCCATCCTTCCACTGTGCAGGACCGCTCCTTTGCTTCCCGGGGACAAAGAGTTCAGATTACATAGACCTAGACCCAGAATCAAGTTTTTAGCATATACAGCTGCCTATATACATTTAATAAAGCATCCAACTACAGACACTCTCAACCCATAGGAACTCGGGTTAGCAAAGCAGTACAGCTCTGACAATGCCATGTCTGTTCTCTGGGAAGTTGAGACTATAGGGGCCTACATCTTCTGCAGCAGCAGGAGTTACGTGTGTGCTCAGAACTGCTTGAGGCCCAGTCCTTCTTGCCTTCTCAAGGGAACAGAACTGTTGAAGAGACCCGCAACATTGAGTGGAGGCAAGCCAGATTTTGTGCAAGGCTTGCCTGTGTTCTGGTTGACAGAGCCTGCTGTTATCCTCAATTCTGAACACAGCCCAGCTATGAGATTACTACTGGATGCTTATCACTCTTGTTAGTTAACTGTAATTCTGATTTTTCATGGAGCTTGAATCATGGACCAACTTCTCCATTATCAGATCAGCTAAAGAAGCCAATTTTGTAAAGCCTAATGTACTGGCCTATATGCTCCCTTCAGCCCTTCAATTCCGACTCCTTTAGAGAGAAAGGAAAGTGGGCATGGTAGAGCCGGTTGCTATGGCTTTGGCCATCATAGTGCTCTCAATGCCTCCTGCGGGTCAGAAGGAAGTACACTGTGGCTGGTAGGAAGAGTGAGGCTGAAGGGTGTGGGAGTTTTTAAATGACCAGAGCTGGAGTGGTCTTGAAAACAAAGACCTGCCACACACCAAGGGCCTGACCAACTACTGGTTTCGTAATCCAGAGGTGCTGGACATCACTGGATAGGTTCCTGTGAGGTGTTTTTAAAGTTTGAAATTTATATTCCCAACCTGGGAAACAAGAACTTACTTTTGCCTAAGCCTTGTGTCCTTTAGATTAAAATCACAAGAAAAGGTGCCTTTGAAACAATGGAAAACTTGCTTATGGAGCTGTACTAAATATTAAAGCCCCAGTGTCTCCAAGGCTGGCTTCTCCGAGAGCAGTGGATAAAGCAGGGCAGGGGAGAGACAAAGATGACAAGCAGGATGTGTTATCCATGACCCCACTTACCTCTTGGAAACTCCACCAGTAGAGCCACAGGCAGAGCAAGAATTTTGACCAAGAAACAGCGGTTAACTTCTAGGTGTTGTCTTGGCTCCCCTCACAGGGAGCTATAGGCTTTACTTAGTCCGAGGATGAGCATGGCAGCCTTCAGCCTTCTAGGAAAGAGGGCTTTCTCTGGAACCCAAAGCCCTGGAACCATTATAAGATGTTTCTCTTGCCTTTCCTGTCCCCATAGGGATGATTTCACATTTGTCTCAGATTGGGTTTTTTTTTTTTTTTTTTTTTGACTACTTGGCAAGTTTTGCAGTCTATTTTTTGTATCCTTTCTGTTTGGGGAGAGAAATTATTTGGCCCCAAACCTCGAGGAATTGGAAAGAATGGTGAGTGACTGTTTTCCTTCAGAGAACAGACATCTGAAAGTTTTCCTTCAGTGTTTGTTTACGTGCAGATCGGCAAATCCACATATACAGTACACATACTTATTTGATACTTACACAAACACATCTCATATACACATGAGCTTCATGTGGATGCCCGAGGGGAAAGTAGCCTGTATGTGAAGAGATGACAATACACTGGGCAGCTGGAGCAGCCGAGGAAGCCATCTTGTCTAAGAAAGCACCTGTGTCTCACCTGAGCCCAGATGCCTGCTGGCTTCACCTATACAGCCCTGCTGCACTAGCTGAATGGTAGAGTCTATGAAAAGGTCTGAACAATTGACAAGGAGCAGAAACACTAAATTACTTGGTGGACACAGATAGCAGCCTGGGCTCGGGCACCAGGCAGTCTTCTGGATGGGAAGTTGCAGTAACACTGGCCCAGCACTCCTTTCTCAGAGCTGGTGATGGCAAGACTGCCCAGGTAAGAAACCCAACAGATGAAATGGACCTTGTTTCTTCCTTTGCTTTGGGATGGGGGAGGGAAGTTGTGGCTTGGACCTTAGGCTGGTAGGTAATGATGAGGGAGGTGGTCATGGAGCAGGTGCTTCAGAGAAGAGCTCTGGGCGCCAAGCAGGAGTGCACTGGCAGAGAAGTAGGGGTGTAAGTTGACGGCTACCAGGTCTGTGGCTGCTATGTGACAGATCACAGTGGCCTCGTACAGTCAGAGGGTCAAGTTCTCTGTGTTGTCAGTAGAAGGCTAGCTGTGGGCTGCAGAGGTGGGATGCAGTGTGCTTCTCCTGACAAAGCTTGCACTGGCAGATGAGTCTTGCCACATCCTTTGCACTCACCACTCACTTGGACTTACAGAGGCAGTAAATGCTAAGTGTTCTCTGTTGTCTGCATTATGTTTTTTTTTCTACTTACACGGGGTTGCAAGTTCAGTTTTAAACCAGATCCCATTCTATCAGAAATCTGAACTATATAGGTTTTGCATATTATTTGATCAAAATGTTTTTTGATCATAGAGATTTTTCTTTTGGGAATTGGGTGTGTCAGTGTGGGAAGTCCTTTCCCTGGATGGCTTGCCAGCACTTTGAGGTCACTAGTGACTGCTCTTCTACTTTTCTCTTGGCTGAGTGGCAGCAGCTTTCAGGTGAACAGAATACCTTAGCCTGAGGCATCCCTCCCTCTGGAAGCAGAATAATTGAGTGAGACCCAGTAGACACCTGCCTGTGTCCTCCAGTCTGTCCCCATCTGACCTTGAATGTCTCCTACCCCGAAGCTTAGCACTCCCCAGGCCCAGATAGCTCTCAGAGGGTTTACTTACTCTGTCAGTAGCTGTGCCACACCTGTGCCCCTTCCTCCTGTCCCCTAGGACACCTGTTACACAGCTGCCTTGTGTGGAGCATGGGAGGCAGCCTTTCCGGTTAGAGTCTCTTGCATTGTCCCCCAGGTGACTGTTAAGTTATCCCTGTCTTGAGCCATTGCCTTTCATCTTCCTAGTCTCTGTATGGACCAAAATCCTCAGATTGGAGCAGCTCAGTCAGTTCAGAAATGAGCTAAGAAGAAAATCCTAAAACAAAACTTAGAATGTGTTTTTCCTAAAGCCCCCACCTTTACTGGCTGTTTCCCAGAGAATTTGTATCACATTCATTCGCAAGGCTCATCTGTCTGAAAGTCTTCTAGATACACGAAGGCCTTTGGTTAGCTCATCCTGGCCAAGGTTTAGCAGGGTGCCTGGTTTTCCTTACTCCAGACTAGAATCCCCTCTTCAGCATCCCTAACTTAGCTCCCTGTTCTTTTTCTCAAGAGCACACTGCTCACCACTATCCTGCCCAGACCTTTAGTGGGTGATTTCCTTGTGTTCTAGCACTGGAGCCCACAGGTTTTCTCTCAGCATAGCCCTTCCCTAGACTTCAACCTGAATTCGCCACACTGCAGTTTGTTCTGCCTTGGTTCAGTGGAGCAAATGACTGCACAGTATACTCCAGGGCTCATGAGGCTGTGGGCCTTCAGTGGAACAGCCGGGTTTGGCACTGACTGAGTGTGTGACAGACCTGATCAGACTGCTCGCTGTTTGGATCGCTACCTGGGTTATCAAAAGAAATACAAATGGAACTGAGTTCTCAGAATCCATTTTTGCTGCAGTCTGTGTTCCTAGTGCCTGGCCACTTAAGGGTGGCTGTGTGGAGTGACAAACCTACGTGCACTCAGAGCCCAGAGCCTGCACTTGGTCATGAAGCTCACTGGGTCTATGGTCTTAGGACTGAGAACTGGCTTTGGTGTCTGAATGCTTGTCAACAGTAGCCAGCAATCCTATGGACATGGTCCTCTAGACTTGAAAAATATAGGCTTTTTTTTTTTTAGCTCAGGTCTAGTAGGAACATCTCTCCTCAAGCCCTCTGAAGCCTGGAGCAAGGGTGGAAATGAGACTAATCAAACCCCGGTTGCCGAGGGACAGAAGTAAGTACCTGCTTCCTTTGGTTTTCGGTCTCTTGTTAGGATCTGCAGGGCCGAATGGATTCAGTGTGGTTATTGCTCTGTTGTCTCTGCCCTCCTTGAGCTAGACCTTGCTCTTACTCTGGCAGGAACCAGGCAGAGCAGGGAGAAAACAGCTATTTGGCAGGCTGCATGATGTCTTCCTGCTGTTTATAAGGGTGGGCGGATGGCAAGTCAGGACACCCATCAGGGACCTGCACATTGACCTGCTATCAGTGCCTCTTCTGTCAAGAGAGTGGTGTACTTTGCACATAGATGGGCACCTGTGTGTTAATAGCTTTTCTTGGCCAATGTCTTTTGACACGTATTCCCTTCTATGGAAGGTGGGTGATTTAGAATTACTCTATACAAGTGGAGTTGAAGGTAAAATGTCTATGATAAAGCCTGCTCAGACACTGAATATAGAAAGGGTCGCCAGTGCTTGATCCTTCCCAAGCAAGTCCCCAAAGAGACATTGTTCATCCAGTGAAAGTCTATTATAAAGTGGTCCCTGTTAACCCGCAGTTTGTGCTTAGAGATCTTGTCCCTAGCTCCTGCCCACACAGCTTAGTCTTGTTCATGTAGCTTTGTTAGCTCAGGGTCAGGGCCCCATGTGAGGAGGTTGGCTGCAGTGAGAGCCAGCAGGGTTCCAGTTGCTCCTTGTGAAATTGGGTGGGCTGAGGGCAGCAGTGGTCACTAGGGCAGTGATCTCTGGCCCATGCTTCTGAGTAGCCTGCTTTGTTCAGTTTTGCCAGGAAGGTCAGACTGTGTCATAATGTTATTAAACAGAGAAAACTGGCCAACCTTTCTCTGGCCCCTGCTGACTATTGTTCTTTGAGTTGTCCTAACACAGCCCTTGGGGAAGTTGGGGAGGCTGCCAAGGACGTGCAGACTCCTTGCTGACAATATACTGGTTCTTGGTCCTCCAGCACCTGCTTTATGTTCTGATCTCAGTGTGGATGGCTTTGTCATTGGGGGCCACACTGCTGAGAACTGTGACTGGGGGATGACTTGAACAGTCTGCCTTTGGTGTGCTTCCTGTCTCCCAGAAACAGCTGAAGTGATTACCCTGGTGCTAAATGAGAGTCACCTGCTACTGTGACCAGCAATGAGAGGAAATTGAGAAATAGCTTGTCTGTCACATAGGCCTTTGTGGAATGGGAATTTTCTGTGTGGCCCTGGCTGGTCTGAAATTCAATTTGTAGACCAGATGACACTCTTCCTGCCTCTGCCTCCCAAGTAATGAGTTACAGGCAGGCATGGGCCACACCTTGCTGGAATGTGGGAATCTTTACCCCAAGAAACATCTGAATAGAAAGACGGCCTTGGCCTTTGGTGTGGGCTGTGTGGTGGGAGGTGCGGGGCTGACCTCCACGTAAGGTCCCCCATGGGGATGCTGCTATTTCTAAGATGCAAATTGCACATTTCCTAGATTTTGTATCTGCAAATTTGGATAAGGGATGGGATGAGGGACAAAACTGCTTATGTAGTTTGAAATGGGCCTCAGTGGTACTTCCAATCTTTTGACTGTTCCTAAATAAAAATGTACAGACATTTCTTATCTGCTGACTGTGTATGTGTGTGTGGTGGTGGGGGATTAATAAAAAGGTCAAAACCCTTCTATTGATTTACTTGTTTTTGCAAGTAGATTTTGGGGCTTCCTTTAGTGCCCTGGGAAGACATTCCATTCACTTGTCTCCTGCCTTGCTGAGCTCACTGTGGTGGCCCCATGTGAAACAACTATGGAGATTAAAACCCTGCTGAGTCAACCAAGTCTGATCTTAGAGCCATAGGGCACGGGCAAGTTTTCTTGTGTTCCTTTTTCTGGTGAGAAGAGTTGTTTGTCAGCAGAACATGCCATTTGCTAAGGAAGGCATGTCACTAGACAGGAAGACCTAGGAGGCTTCTAGAGGACCAGGGTCAAACCCACACCTCCAAGACTCAAAGCAACTGAAATTTTGTTGGGATGACCATATTGGCCTATCTATCACATAAGGAAAAAGGGCTCCTAAAAGAAGCCCACCTGGGAAAGAACAAGGGGTAGCAGTTAAACAGCATCAGGACCTGCTCCTTCCCAAGGCCAGTTTGGGTCCTCAAGGAGCTACTTTGTGTTGGATGTAAAGGACCAGGTAGTGTGAAACCATGGAGCTGTCTCCTGAGGTCTTGGTGGGCAGATCCAGAACATACTGGGTGGAGATGGCGATGGCAGCCACCTGGAAGCTACACGATTCCTAGTAAGAACAGGCTGGCATATATCCTCTGGAGAAGCCTCTAAGGGCCAGATCCATTTCATTAAAATATAAGGCAGGCTGGGCTTGTTTTGGTCACTAAGTTAGTTTGGTAAAGTAACCTCACGCTCATTCCCCACTTTTCAATAGATCTGATAATGGACAAGTTGAACGAGAAGTGGTTGTCCAGTTTCCGTCCTCAGCTGAAGTTCAGGGTGAGTCTGACCAGAAGTGAGCCCCAGCTCTTTTGGCTAAGGGCCACAGGTACCTGTATATGAATTTTCTTAGTAAAGGCTGCAGACTTGTTTCTGCATTCTAACCCATGTTTTCGGTCTGTGGCAGGAGGCAGAATGTCCCTGACATTTCAGTGCTTTCTTGTTAAGTGTTCACTAGTGACCGCTCTTTACTTGTCCCTGGCCTGCTAGCCAAAAACGACGACACTTCTCTTGGCTTGTGTTCCTAGTACCACTGACTTCCTTTCCAATCCCACTCTTTTGCTTTCTTCTGCCAAAGCCAGTGGTTTTTAACCTGAGCACTCATTTTCATGCCCCAAGGAGTCTGTGAATATCCATACAAGGCCCCAGTATCGGTATTTCTCAGATGCACCCAAGGGTGTGATTAAGCACCACATAGCCGAGACTCTACAGGTCACAACCCACTGGATGGAAGGCAGTGTCACACAAGCTGTCACATGTAGGGACACACTACATGCATCAGGCAAGATAGCCACGAGGTGCCAAGACATTAAGGCCCATGTCATTTCTCTCTCACTAACATTTTTCCCCTTTGCTGGGTCTTCTGTGTTGGTCAACAGTAGTCAGGTTCACCTGAAGAATTGAAGAGATGAAACTGATCCTTAAATCTGCTCCACTGAGGGAAGGATCAAAACAGAGCTGGAAAGGAAATGCGATAATGCGCCAAAACAGTGAACCACAGTCTGAAGCTGCTCAAGGAAGGCAGAGCTGAGCCTCTCCCGGAAGACTTGTCCAGGAAATAGAGGTATCTGCTGAGAATTAAAGTGCCTAGCAGCAAGCAAAGACTACCACACATCAACACTGAGGACAAGCAGACATAGCTCCTATGTTCTCCTGGGCCACAGACAGACTCAAGTGTGAACTCAAAGCTCCTGATATATCCCACCCACTGTTTTTGTGGGGGAGGATTCTTCCCTTATACGCTAGTATAGGAAAACTTTACAGTACCTCATGTGGGATCCCTAACCATAAAATAATTACTTTGCTATTACTTAACTAATTTTGTTACTGTTACGTAATGTATGATATGTAAACCCCAAAGGGGTCATAACCCACAGGTTCAGACTACTGCTTTAGATGACCACTACAGACCAGCCAGCACTCAGGTGCTTAGTGCTGTGTGACCCGAGCAGCTAGTTCAGCAAAGGGTGTACACTGCTCACTGGGCCATAGTTTTTTGTCCCGCTCCAGGAAAACGCTGTAAGAGAGCCCTGGGAATAGTCAGGCATTTTGAGCAGCATGTTGTAAGCACAGAGGCTGGCAGGTAGACAGGCAAGTAGAGTAGCAACTGTCAGCATATATCCAAACATTACTTTTTAAAAACAGGTTTCTGTGCAATAGAGATTGAACTTGCTCCTAAGTGGGGTGAACTTCAGCTGTATCATTAGAAGATGAAGTGGCAGAGGTGACCTCACATTTCAGAGACCCATGGAAGAGCTTCCTGTTTCAGCAGTCTCCAGGAATGCCATACCATAATTGCTTCTATTCTCAATCACTCACCATGCTTTCCTGAGCCCCCAAGAAACAAACAAGTTAAAAAGGACATGAGGATGATTTATTTGGCAGTCAGATCTTAAGAGGGCAGCAGAACTAGCAAATGGCCAACCCTGAGCCCAAATGTGGGCAGTGGGTTTGCGTGTGCTGAATGCTGGCTATGCTGAGGCACCTTTATGCCCACGGGCCTGGACCCCAGCCTCTGTTTTCAGAGGTGAGGCTGCCTTCCCAGCCTTCCCATCTCCTCTGCATCTTTTTACCAGATGCCTAGCAGCAGCTTCATTCGGTACCTACTGCCTTACTCCACCTCCCTATTCTTCATTTCATTACTAAGGGAAAGCATACTGAGTCTTCCTTGCCATAAAACAAAAAAGCTCACCAGGGTAGGTGTTGCTCTTCTCTCTCTTCCTGCACCCCATAGAACAGCTGTTTCCAAAGGCTCTATGCTGGGGCTCCCCTTCCAGGGTGAGGGGCAGGACTGAATAACTTAGTTACAATACCACCAAGAAGAGGAAAAAATAATACTGCTATTTTTTTTTTTATCATGATCCCCTGTATCTTTCAGGCTGGGTGGCATCCCCAGCCATGGGCAGTGTGCCCTTGTGCTGTGTCTTCCTCCTCAGGCAGGGCAGACTTCTCCTCAGGCCCTGCATTCTTCTGTCCTGGCTCCATCCAGGGCCAAACTGCAGGGCATCTACTCTTTCACCCTGACCAGCTGTGGGTTTAAAGCTACAGGACAATGTAAACTTTGTTTCCCTAGCCCAGCAAGGCTCTTCTTCCTCCTCCACTCTCAGGAATGTCAGCAGCTCCTTGAAGCCTCCTCTGCCACCAATTGTGGCAACTTCTCTCTCCAAGGGGCTTCAGCCCTGATCCTGGCCCAAGATGGAAGGACCCACCTCCAAATTCAAGGCCAGATATGTGTGCTTAATGCTAGACACAGTACAGTTTTTTGCCTTCACCCAGAGCAGGGCTTGGAGGCCCAAAACAATACATTTCATTAATGGCTTAGTTTTGTCTAGCCTTCACCGCTGGAATCCAGGCTCCAAGCTGCGAGACCAGGAAGGCTTTACAGTGGGCCGCTCCCAGAGAACCTAGTTCATGGCATTCCACAAGATGGGCAGCACCAGCTGCTCTCCAACAAGGTGGGGGCACGACTAGAGGCGGTTGTCTCCATTGACCCGAGTCCTTCTTGGGGCCCTGAACAGAAGTGAAGCATCCTTACTGGCCTTGTAGCCCGACAGGACAACCCAAAGACATACAGTTATTGATCACTTTTCCACACAGGAGAAAGCTGCCAAAGGATTGACCTAACACATAGTGCTGTTCTTTCTGGCTCCAGCACCCTTCCTCCAAGTTCCCACACTGGCCAACTTCCCCTTCACCTCCCTCACCTTCGTTCCCGACTGTCAAAATGGTCTGCAAGATGCTCCTGGGAGATGCGGAAGTCTTCAAATGGCTGCTGGTATCGGGCTTCAAAGGAGCCTTCCCGGGCTCGGACATGGAACAGCTGGCTGGAGGCATCTGAGACTCGTTCCCGTAGTGATGTACCACTGAAGGGACTGAGGTCACCATTCTCCTGCTCAGCAAGGGGAAGTGCACAGAAGTTGAGGTCTCTTATGCACCTGGGGGTGGGGTGGGTTTTCTCTGCTCACTCTGCTGTAGTTACCTTAGCAGGGAAAACTTCGATCTTGATGAGCAGGGAGGCCAACTCCAGGTCTTCACTGTAGTTGTTCTTCAAAGGCACTGCTCTGTATCCTAGGAGAAACACTTGGCTCTCAGCCCAACCGTGTCAGGCAAGTGGATCAGTTCCACCCTGACAGTAAGACCAAGAACAGCATGTCACGGAAGATCCCTTACCTGTCTTCAGGCCTTTTACTGGGAAAGTAGCCTGAGCCAAGAAGTTCTGGTCACTAAACATGTCTTCCTCATATACCACAAAGCGTAGAAAGGCAAACTCAGGGTTACTGATCTGGAAGTGGAAGGGCTTAGCCGGCCACACAGGGTTCAGTCCATTGTCCACTGTGGAAGCAAGGGCAAAAGCTCAGGCCACATCAAGAGGCTAGCTGACTGGTAGAGAGAGGTCTATGTCATACCAGGAGAATGACTGGTAATGGAGGAAGGCTGACTGACCTACAAACTCTGTCTTTTGCTTGATGCTGTCGTATTCTGCTCCAGCCACCTCAATTTCCACAAAAGGACATACAATACCTCGGCCATTCTTCGGCAGATGCCTGGCCCCTAGCACCTGTAAGGCAGGCAGTAAAGATGGGGTAATGACTGTCTTCCTGCTCCCAACATCCTCATAGCAGAAGCACGGGGAGCATATGTGCCATGGAGGCAGTATGCCCCCTGCTGGGCTCTGACAGTGCTGCCTATTAGGCCCCTCACTGTTCCAATCCAGAGCAAGCTGTTGGGTGTAAAAATCTGAGCTTTAAGCCAAGTGTTGTATGCATTTTGCAGTCCATTTCATGTTAAATCCATGTCTGGTCCAATGTGGGACTCCATGTCTGGTCCAATGTGGGACTCTTCTAAACTCCTTTAGGAGAAAAAGGCTGGAAAGTAGCAGTCATGGCCATCGATATCTATGGCTCTGTACTCCCAGGTGGGTCTATCTGGTCACACGCTGTCCTTATTCTTTCCACTGTTTAGGCCACCCTGCTGATTCCCACAACAAGGGTTGACTTGACCCTTGTTATGGCTTTTTATTAGACATGCACTAGGGAGCTCTATTCTAGGGACCAAGAAAGGCAGATAGGCAGCTGGTCATGATCTAGAAAAACCAGGTTTTGCTTGCTCCTGCAGACAGGAGCCTAGCTCATCACATGCCTCCTCCATCCTGATTTTTGCTACTCTGACTAGATTCTTCCAGCCAGGTAGTGAGTGACTTTTCATAGTTAGCCTTAACTGGACAGCCTGACTCTTTTGTACAAAAACTGGCCATGGTCAGCCCGACTACTTATGGGATCCCAACCCTCACAGAGGACCTATAAGATAGTTCTGCTTCAAGCTCAAGAACAGTCTAATAGTTCCCTTCCCCAACTCAAGGCAGAGAATGCTGCTTACCTCTGGCTCTGGTGCCCTTCCCCACTTAGACGGAACCATCTGGTCCCCAACTTCTTGGCAAGTTTAGTATCAATATCCCTCATAAACCTTTCCCTACCCTGAAGTAACCAGATGAATACACCCACCTCAATGCAGATGACACAGGGTTCTAGGCCTCGTAGGCTGCTCTTGTCAAAGGGGTCAAAGGCTTCGTCTCTCATCGTGCTTGGCTGCAGCACATAGCCGCAATGCCCACCGGCCATGAAGAGGGCCTGGTTCATCTGCATAGGCTTGTCTGGAAGAGTGGGATTATAGTGTGTTCCAGTGAACCTGCCCTAAGTGTCTCTCCCCACCCACTGAGGCCCCTCTCACCTGGAGTCTGAAAATTGAGTGCTACAAGCTGGCTGCCACAGATCCACATGGGCAAAGGATCGTAATTGGAGGAGTCCAGCCTCTGTCCCTTGGGGTAGATTCGAGAGAGTTGCAGCCGATTATACTGAAGGAACTTCTTGCCTTTGGCCTTGTTCACATACTTCTCAGCCTTGGTTTCCGGAAAGGAGGACATGTCCCGGTAACAAGCACGTTCTGTGCCAATCTCTAAGCCAAACAGTGAGAACGTGTACAGAGCAGGCTCCTTGGGCAGTGTGGGCACGAGAGGGTATTAGATACCGCTCGCATACCACTAGCCCCTTGTACACATGCACACCACACCTAACCCCGCCTTACTCTCTTCATCAAAGGGAACAGGCCGGCAGTAGACCACAAGCTCAGAAAGCTCCAAGGCAATCTTCTTCCTCCTTTCCATCATCTTCCCCTCAGTGAGCTGGTAAGACATATAAGGCCCAGGCTAGAGCTCTGCCTGGGAGAAGAAAGCTCCTGCCAGCCTTGTGTACACCCACACTTTAGGTGTTCTGGGGCAGCCCTCCCCTCCCCTTGTATCTTTCAAATATCAGAGTGTAAACAAAACTACTGGTTCCCAGTTTCAGCCCAAAATTGTTCTTTTCCTTTGTCTCCAAGGACACACTTGTTCCCCAAACCTCTTGGGATAGAAGCCTCACCATAACTTATGTTCCAGATGACCTCACAGGAAGCTCAAGGTGGGCAAGGCCTTCCCAGTAATGCTTTCTCTGATCATTCTTTACCCAGTTTCATCTTTCAGCAAAAACACTGCTTTCTGATTCCCTGAAGTACTTAGGCCTTAAGCCCACTTGGCAATGTCTGTGCCTAAGATGATCTTTACCACCTCAGTTCCTCCACAGCAACACCATCTTCCTCCTCCCAGACCTAGCTCAGCAGCAGCCTGCTGAGACGCCCTGACTCTGCTGTGTCCACCTTCCTCAATCAGTGGCTCCTCTGTCTATGCTCTACCTTCTCTGCCTAGCCTAGACCCAGGATCTAGCACTTCAACCACTGGTTCTTTCAGTGCCTTGCCCTCCAGGACACACTGATAAAATCCTCCGCATCTCAGCCTTTCCCTGCTTGGCTCAAGGTATCTGTTCTCTAAATCAGGCACAGATGTGCTCACCAAATGCCCTAGAGGAACAGCCTCAAAGCAGAAGTTCCTGTACATCTGCAGGTGCTTTACCAGGCTCAATGGCAGAGGCCAGGCTTCCTCTAGAAAGCTGGTCTTTCCAAGTAAATGTAGACTGCTCACTATCCACAAACTCTAACTCCCAGCTTTCCATGGTTAGCCACTCCAGACTCCCTGCCACCCACTGCTAACCTAGTCATGACACTTGCACACCTCAATAGTGTCACTAGGAATACCTGCTGCTGCTAAAGCCGATGGATACCTACAGATTGTTACTGCACCTATGCAGCCCTCAGCACACTACGGGCCACAACCATGGGGAACTGCAACTTCTCTGCCTGCTGTTCCAGGCACATTCTCTGTCACAGACATTTACCTCAGCCCTCTTCCTATCTTCACCAATTCATCTCTTCTAGCCTGATTCTATTCCTGCTGCCAGCCCAGGAGCTTATGAAGACTCATTCAGGTGATCCAGAGTATCTCCTATTCAATGCTTCCTATGTACATCATACTTCTGTCTTGAGTCTATTCTTCTGGGTCCCTTATCTAAGGCCAGGCCACATCAGCAACCAGCAGTATGCTGTCTCTTCCAGAGGAGCTGGTGGAGGCCTTCGCTCCCTGACAGGCCCACACTCCGCCCTCCCAGGCCCCAGCACTACCTTCCAAGCTGTGGCAGTTCTCACCCTGGCATCTGCAGTCTGGGCCACTTCCCGGATCTTTTTCACCCAGTCTTGCAGCTCCTCCTGCGAGTCAGCTGCAACGTCTAGGGACCAGTGAGCCAACGATGGCATGCTGATGGAGAAGACGAAGAGCCGGTTGTTCTTGCCTTCAGGACGAATGGCTGTTGAGGGTAAATGATACAGGGCTAGGAATGTTCTCTTTATCCTTCATTCCATATCTTAGGGCAGTAGTTCTCAACCTTCCTAATGCTGCCACCCTCTACTACAGTTCCTCATGCTCTGGTGACCCCAACCATAAAAAATATTGGCATTGTTAGTCAAAACTACTTTTGCTACTGTTATGAATTGAAATGTGAATATCTGGTATGCACCTCCCGAAGGGGTCATGACCACAGTTGAGACACTGCCTTAGACACTGGCTCAAAGGAATTCATTCCATTTCTTCCTGGCCACACTTTATAAGCAGGCACAACTGGTATAGAGATACAATTGACAGAGGTGACTGTAGCTGTGGTGGAACCGAGGCTCCAATGCAGCTGTGACTCGTAGCTCTTGCTTGGGGCCAGGCCTTTTAACCCCTGCTCTACCCCGTCTTCAAGCCTCTGTCACAACCCTATGGCCTAAACCATTAAGACTGATGTCAGCTTGTACTCAGAAGCTCTGCCAACTTC